ATTTTTTTTTTTCCTGCTGAATTGGCCAAGGCACTTGGCAGAATGACCCGCATTTTAGGCAAGTGAAGCGACTCCTGTTGCTCTGCCAAGTACTTCCATTCCTTGAGGACCAGTCCTCCTAGTCTAGGTGATTGGGAAATTTTTCTGCTCTTTATCAGAGCTTGGCATTAGTTGCTTTAGAGCATCAATATATATAGGATAATGACATCTTAAGCTCATTTTGTCGTGGCCATGCAAAGAGAGACTGCTGGAGTGTTACAGCTCCGTGATTTTAAGGGCGGTGACATGGTCCAGTGTAGGTCAGAGCACCCTAATGGTTGCTTTGACTGTGCCAGCTGGCAGTACTCCACAAGGGACCAGAACCAGCTGGAGGTAACTTGACTCATTTTAGTAATGTCTCCTGCAAGCCGCGCTCCCTGGGCCAAGGCTGGGAGTGGCACAGATAGCAGGACACCCGCAGCGTTTTGGGGAGAGCCCTTCCGTGCCGTGGGAATTCTGCATTGTGACGCCCCGCAACGTGAGGGAATCTGTCCTGGTCCCCCACCAGCAGAAAGGAAATATCTGAATTTATGTCCGCAACACGTTGCATTACTCGATACTTGTGTACAACAACTGGCCTGGGAGAAGGGCGCGGTGCATCGTGCGGTGTAGTCCGCTGTCCTTTTCCCGCCATGGTGACCGGAGGTCTGGTCCCTTAAGGCGGGCAGGGGGTGCAAATGGTGGATCTGGCTGGCAGCCAGACTCCGTTTCTCAGCAGCCCTTGCCTGCATCGCTGCAGCAGTTTCCATGGAGACCCCAGCAGCAGCGGGGCCAAGGTTTCCATGGAGACCAGCCCCAGCAGCGCTGGCAGGGCACGTGGCTGAGCAGGGAGCAGCTCTGGGGCTGGGATATTGTAGCGGTGACAGCGTGGTCTGGCGCTGGGGCAGAACTATGATTTGCTGCCCACGTGCCCCAGGCAGGGCCATGTTGGGCAGCAGACTGTGGCTTTGCCCCAGCTCCGGACTACACTGTCACCGCTGCAGGATCCCAGCCCCGGAGCTGCTCCCTGCCCAGCCAGCGCTGCTGGTGCTGATCTCTGTGGAAACCCTGGCCCTGCGCTGTCCGGGCCCCGCCACTGCTGGGGTCTCCATAGAAACCAGCTGCAGCAACGTAGGCAGGGGCTGCTGGGAAATGGAGTCTGCCACAGGCCACACTTTGCCTGCCCCTGCTATAAGGGAACAGAGCATCGTGCACCCTGCAAGACTGCTGGTTGCTTTGGCTCTTGAATCAAAGAACTGTCCTTTCTCAGTCTAAAGAAGGAAACATCATACCGAAGCATAGCTGAATGGTATGGCAGTCGTAAAAGATGCGGGGCACGATAAACGATAAAGCCTACAGTGAAGTACTGAATAGCTTCCTTCCAACATAAATGACCATGGAAAAGCAGAGGAGTGGGAGCAGCGGAAAACATGCCTCTATTTGTACAGCTGGTCTGCAGTTCTTGTCGGTCTACTAAAGCCAGGAAGTTTCCAACAAAATCTACCACAAACTTCATCTCGAGCACGGAGGTCTGGGAGGTCTGTTGCAGAATTTGACGTCCCCGGGTGTATGCGCTGCTGCTAGCTGCGCTTCTAGCTAAGGACTTCAGATATGTCACCTGGGCTGGACACATTTCTTGTCACGATATCTAGTCTTTATTCTGAATGCATTTTAGTTATTACCAATGCTCATTCATACTGTATTTCCTCCTTTTTAATGCACTCTTCTGGAGTAGGTTTTGCCTATATATGATGGGGGTGGGATTTTTCATTAAATTCTTCCTTGCAAAAACCTCCTGCGATGTCTCCATACCACAGTGAGATTTGGCACCTGAAAGGGCTTTGTAATATAGAGCAGAAGAGAATACAGAACAAAACATGGAGCATTAGAGGAAAAAGAGGCTTTCTGTCTTTTCTGATGCATCCTTTTGTGAAAATTCTCCGCGTTACGATTTGAAATGGAGTGAAGCTAATCATCTGGTCTGAAAGAAATTTAGATGGATTCATTAAGAGCCCACTGGGTTTTTTTTCCCCCAGGGATTTTTAGTGTGGGAAATCAAACAAAGTGGCACGCACAGACTTACCAGTCAAAAATCCATATTAAATGCCCCCCAGTAACCAAAGTCAGAAGCACCAACCCAGAAATGACACATGGGGAAGAACCAGCATATACCATTTAGCTAGCTTTTAATGACCCAAAGCACTACGTGAGTCTTGCCCTTGAAGCTTCTTGACTGTCCTGCATCATCTGCTAGACTCGGATGACTTGCTGCTGTTACAGCAGTGATTAGGATTGGGGAAGTCCTCGTTGCATTTGCCAGTGAGTCAGTTATCTGGCAGCTGGTCCTGGTTAACCACACATTGTCATAAGAGTTTGTGAAAATGTGACATGCTAGGAACTAAGGAGAACTGAGGCACACTTGGAAAAGAGCATGTTTGGTATGAGATGGTATACTTGCCCAGTCACTCCTGGATTGGAGAGGAGTTCAGAAGAAGTTGTTCTGCCATTTACCTGGTGGGGCTTCAGGTAACCAGTGTCACATTCTTCCTATAGGTCCTTGGTAAGGGGAAACTTCAGAATACAGGTCAGATTTGTGGTTGTGTAAATTAGAGTAGCACAGTCGCACCTGGTATGCTGGAGCAAACTGAAATGATATGCCAGGCGCGGGAACACAAGTCGTGGAAATGTGTGTGTAGGCCATGAAAGAAGACTCCAGGTCCAGAAAGAACTACAGCAAAACGGTGATTGCCTCTTATTTGTGTCCCCAAACCACCAAGAAACTCCAGGAGTGAACAAGAGCCCTGTTATGCTAGGTGCTGCACGGATATGGGATTAAAAAAACCCCAACCTGCTGTCCTTTCCTCAAACACCCGACAGCCTAAATACAAGACCAGAACGAACAGAAGGGGAAAGCCCAAGGAAACGGATGAGAACCGCTGCAGTTTAATTGCATAGTTTTTTTTCCCCGTTAGTCCAGCAAAGATTTATTACTCTGACTTTAAAAAAATAAATAAATAAAAAGTCTGAATTAATTACAGAATGGACTGCTATGCACGTACTGAAATGTCACATAGCTTCAACTGAATTGTCTGTGTTCTGTAATCCATCATTCTTGAGGGGTTTATGCTCATTTCGTGCCTTTAAAATTTCGTGCCTCATTCACAATGGATCTCTTAACGATTTAGTCTGCTTTTGGACAGCATAAAAGAAACAAATGGTATCATAATAAGTATACCAATGTAAGCTCATTGAGAGGTCCCCGAGCGCTCTAGAATAAATCTCCCGTGTGCTTAGGGCTAGCTGCAAGCTGCTGCGGCTTGGCCTTTCTGTAGGCATTTATAAAGTGGTAGTTGCTGTAGGAAAGCAAAGCACGCCTCTAGGTCCATCAACTGTGAAAACGCCAATTAAATTTCCAAGACCTTATGTGGGAAATGAAGAGTCTGAGAGATTATAATGATGCTGGTCCTGCTGCTGCTTCAGAGCTCTAACGAGGAGGGGCCCTGCCTGCCAGCTTGGACATGCAAGGTCAAGATTTGCCATCACCAGCTTCTGTTGCATAAGGGGAAATCTGTGCTTTCAGGAGTTGGATGTTGGTGTATTTTTTTTTGCAGGGGGAGCACAGAGAACAGAGCAGTTGGGAGGTGAGGGATCTCTTGTTCAAATTGTCCCTGCATAGAGAGGGTGGGACAGAAGCATCCCTTGTCTACCTGTTGCCTGCAAGGGAGCTAGCTGCATCGCTGCAGACTGCAGCCAGCTCTCTAATCAGCTCTTTAAAGTTTGTGCCTTTTCCATTTTGGTTTCACGCCCAGTATATTTTGACAATTGCAGTTAGTCTTCAAAATTGCGGAGGCCCGTAGGGCATGTGGCAAGAACCTAAGATGCCTATTATTAAGGGTTTGGTTTTTGTGGCGTTTTTTTTTTTGCAGTCAGCTTTTTAATACCTTTCGTTATGAGCTCCCAAAGCAATGTAATGTTTTCAAGTCGTCGTACAGCTATTTTTTTTACCAATAGTAGTTAGCCCTTTTTAATTTCAGATTGCCTAATAAACATTTAATCATTCCGGCTAGTGTCTACTCCACCGAGGTAGGTAAGAATTCTTCATTTGACAGATGGGTAGGTTGCAAAGGGTGAAACTTTGCAGAAGTGTCTGAAGTCTGACTGTGAGTCAGTGGGAATTTCAGAGCCTACGTCACTCCTTTTTTCAAATGGCATTTTCGATTAATAAGTCATTGGGGCAGACGTTGCCAGCCTGTGGTCCCATGCTGCCAGAAGAGGAGCGTGTAGAGCCCCGAGAGGTCTGGTGATACGTGTTGTTGTGTTTCAACTGCACGGCCATTTATTTGCAGGAAGGAAAGAGAGACTTTCTAGCTGAAACCACAGGGGGGACTGCAGTTAGGCAATGTGTAAGTGCTCAAATTGGAATCGAGTCAAGGAAATTTTACCACCGCCTGCTTTTATCATGCTTCAGGGAGGTTTTTGGCAAGTGGTCAGGATCTTTTTTTTGCAGTGTATGTGAGAGAAGCAACCTGGAAAAAAGCAAGGTAGGGGCATGCTGTCTTTCCCAGGCGTGATCCAGCTGGGCAGCTGGGACTCTGCTGCTCCCCCGCATCCCAGTTTGTGGCTTGTGCAGAACGTCTGCCAGCGTGAAGACCCGTGGCACAAACAAAACGATGCCGAGTGGCCGTCGCTGTTCCACATTTGTGTTGTGTTGCATGTACTAATGGATGTTTCCTCTCTTTCTCCAGGTCTCTCAACTCGGGCATTTGCAAGCACTCAGAAGAAGGACGCTTGGATTTGAATATTTGGTCTTGGAAGGCATGCCACGCTGATTGTGCTCTATCTGGTGACTGCGCAGTGGGTGCAATGGCTCAGTCTAGGTCAAATGGATCTCACTATGCCCTGACTGCCATAGGGTTGGGAATGCTTGTCCTTGGGATCATAATGGCTGTCTGGAACCTGGTCCCAGGCTTTGGCCATGGTGATAAGTCTCCCTCTTCTGGAAACAGCAGCAAGCCAGAATCGGGTAGCGGAGGAGGAATGCTGAAGAGCAAGACCTTTTCAGTGGCATATGTATTGGTTGGGGCTGGAGTGCTCCTTCTGTTGGTTTCCATTTGTCTGAACGTCCGGGACAAAAAGAAGCAAAGACAAAACGAGGATCTTGGCAGGATCCAGCACCAGGTGTCTACTGAACCTCAGCAGCAGGAGGATAGGTAAGGGGCTAGGTCTAACGTAGCAGTATTATTAAAAGGTTGGGGTGTGAGATGAACCTGTTTAGAAGTGACTCTGTTAAGACCCATGCTAAAATAAAGGCATTAAAGTTTCATGTTTCAGAGCATAAACTTGATTGCCTTGGAAGTCGGGAAGGAATTCCTCCACCCAAATTCCACCAGATAATCAGTTAAGTCAATGATAGCAGCATATTCCTTTCTCAGGTATAAGTGACTGGATGTATATATGGCTAAAACAAGTATGCTGCATGCTACTTACAAAAGTTGTACAAGACTCCTTGCTTTTCCTAGTAGGAAAATAGCATGCTAAGGCCTGCTTTTTAATAAGAGTTGGTAGTGTCAGCATGAAGGCTTCTACAGGGAAGGAGGTAGGGAAACGAGAGTGTGCTGAGGTCTCCTTCTAATGGCGGCGAGTTAAATCTAGGAAGTCTGTGGGAAGCTGCAAAACAATTTGTCGGTCGTAGATATGGAAGTATGTACCAGACGAGAGCTTGAGATAAATGAAACAAACTTTTGGATCCATTTTAGTAGGGGAACTCCAGTGAACTTTGAGCAAGGAAGATCTTCTGTAATTAGGATGTTTTAAATAAACACGGGCTCAGGCATCACAGGAAAGAAAATGAAACATTTTGGCAGAGGGCAGACAACTGTATCCTTTCCCTGCAACACTGGTGTCCTGTCTGCCCCCCGCCCCTTTCAGAGATTTAAAAAAAAAAAAAAAAAAGGACTATTGAGGTGAAATATAAAAAAAGGAGAATGCCAGGTGGTAAATGTCTAGCTTAGTTTGCTTGAAAAGTATCATCGTGGGAGTTATAGAAAGCTCAAAGATACTTGGGGAAGTTGCTGTGCAAGACAGGATGGATAGAGAAGGCTCTTTATATTGTGGGTTGTGTGAAGGAAAACTTCCTAATGCTAATGAAATGCAGACTACGTGTATATGTGCAGACTACGTATAGATCGACACTTAGCAGGTTTGCAAAGAATCACTCCCCTCCAGAAACTGGACCAGGCTGGGGTTAATATGACCTACTTAATTGTAAAGCCATCAACTCAAGGTACATCCCTCTAGACTGAGTCCAAATTAATGGTGCAGATGGCAAGGAGATGAGAAGAATTTTTCACTGGCCTATTCTGGGGTGGGGAAAAATCACTATTGGGGCATACAGCATAACAGCTTGGGGGGAAATGGAAAGAAGAAACAGGCCACGTCTACACAAGCAGCGGGCTGCGCGGTCATTAACTGCACAATCGTTTAGTACTTGCTTAACCGAGCACTAAATGACTGCACAGTAACTGGCATTACTACGCAGTGCCATCCCTGCACGGTTATTTTTAGACACTTCCGTAGCAATGAGCTACTGCACTGTAGCATTTTGTGTAGACATGCCCACGGAGTAATAAATGCAACTTGCCAGAACTGCAACTCATTTTAATCCCAGGGCCACACACAGACACCGTAACAGGAGAAACAGCGCGGCTACAACCAGCTTCTCAAACTAAAGTGGAACAGGCATTTCCAATCTGCTTCTTACCATCAAGCTAATGTAACAGTGGGATGAGGTTCTGCAGAGCCGTTGATTCCTCGGTGGAGCGAATGGAAGAACGTCGAAGTCCAACTCTGTGATTATAGCATCTTGTATCTGAGACGGGCTTAATGAGCGTTAGGACTGGGCAAGCGAATTGCTTGGTTAGCACAGTGCAAGCAGCTTTGGACTCTCTCTTCCATCTTTTTAGTTAGTTTCTCAGATTCACGCTCCATATTCTTGTCCTGCTTGTTTCAGCGATGCACTAGACATCTGGAAAGTCATGCATAAAGTATGTTTGTTCAGTGGTCATGAGGACTTCAAATCAAAAGTAACCTGGTTACACCCAGAAGAAAACTAGTCCAGTCATGTAGTTAACTTGTCTTCAGTCATTGCCAGAGAATCCAGCAAACGATCCCTCGAAACGGTTGTTCCTGGCGTTGTGACACCCCCGGCCTAAATGTCATGTTGCTGTGGGAGCTTTGAGTCTAACTCGGGGTGGGCATCGTGGTCCGGCAGCTGGATGCGGCCCGCCAGGCCATTCTATCCAGCCTACGGGACCCCTAAAAAATTTAGAAAATTAATATTAATCTGCCCTGGGCTGCCTGTCATGCGGCCCTCTGGCTTGCTGAAACTCGGCAAGTGGCCCTCTGCCCAAAATAATTGCCTGCCCCGGTCTAACTACACTCCAAAATCCCAGTGTGGCCTAGTGACTATGGTAGGGAATTGCAAACTATACTTCTTGTATTGCATTCACCCTTCTGATAGCAAATCTGTCAGAGACAAGTCGCAACTTCTGCGCCTTGGTTTCCCCGGCCTGTAAAATAGTTCTTGCACCCAGGGATGTCAGGTTTATCTGATAATTGTGCTACAGTTTGAAACCCTTTCATGAAAAGTATTGTGGAAATGAGGATTGTATCGCCATTCTTTTTTTTCAAAGCTGAGCTGTCAGCAATGCATCTGAAATGGCTTGGTGCACTGACCATTGTAAAATTTTAACTTCTGTCTACAGTCAAGAAGAGGATGATGATTCGCACTCCCGATATTACGTCCCCAGTTACGAAGAGGTTATGAACACTGGCTACACCGAGACAAGAGACTTGGACAGAAGCACCAGGATCAGCATGTCTCTACCCTCCTATGAATCTCTAACTGGGATCGATGAAAACACGCAGACCTCAGTGACCGCTGCTACAGGCACCGAAGCCAACGCGGAGCGGCAGCCAAGCAGACACAGCTCTCGCTTGAGCAAACGCCTGAAACCCCTGAAGGTTCGGAGAATTAAGTCCGAGAAACTGCACCTAAAGGACATCCGGGTTAATCTTCCAGACAAAAACAGTTCAAGTCATATAACGATAGAGCCATTGACCCCTCCTCCGCAGTATGATGAGATTCAAGACAAAGCTCCAGATAGTAGACAAGGGACTTAATACCTATGGACTGTCCAGGTAAACACACTACTTGAACTTTGATTTCTGGGTACAAAACAGTGAAATTTCCACAAGCTTGAAAGAGACCAAGGAAATGCTGGACTTTATATACCTCTTTTTTTTAGATGGACCAAATGAGCCTTTCAACAGATGGTTGTTCATGAACACTGGTGCATCTGATCTTCTGAAAGAAATGAAGTTAAGAAGTACTAAATCTATACTCTTTAAATTAAGGAGCACCTTGCCTGCATCTTTTATAGTCTCTTTCTAAGCCACTAAAGTGTTGTTGGGTTTTTTTAACAATTTTACATGTGGAAAAGGGGTGGGGGGAGAGAACTTTTTTTCCCCTTTAGTTTGACATTATTTGTATTTTCTTAAATGAAAGAAAAAAAGAACATTGTAGCTTTCTCTGCTTCCATTAAAAATGGAGTTGGGCTAATGGTAGAAAGCAAGCCTACATATTTGCAACATTTCATAGTATGCCGAGAAATAATCCACTGAATCAAGCGAGAATGTGAAATCCAGCATGCATTTATTTAATCGTTTTACCAGTAACCCACAATGCCAGTGAGGAGCTTTCTATGTGCTGTTGGCCAAAGGGGGAGCATAATTTTGGGCGCTCCAGTATGAAGGGACAGTCTGTTCAAGATTAACTTGTGTAATTTTGGTCAGTTGGACGCTGCTCTAGCGTCCCACGGCAAAAATGTGTTCAAAATGATCGAAGCTAGTGTTGAGTGTGCTGTGCAAACAGACTTTAAAAATAAATATTTTGTATATAGTGTGTGCATCTGTATGTGTTGGTAAATGGGAACAAGTGAGCTGCTTTAACCCCGGGATGAATGAAAGGAAGGACACGGTGGTTTTCTCCTATTTTTCAGCTTGGAAAGTTGCTGTTGCATTCATGAGGCACTATGTCTACGTTTTTAGTAAAGCCATGGGAACCATAAAAGCATGCATATCTGTGATGTTACATGAAGAAATATGCAGTAAGTGCAGCTGGGAAGAGGAGTTTCCTGGATTTCGACATACAAGTCACAAATCTGGTGTCTTGGTCTCTGGCATGATGAAGCAGACTTGTTTTTACCTTGGGCAAGCTAATTTCCCGGATGTCTCTTTTCCTGGAAGTGTCCTTGGCGCTTCTCCATCTGAGAAGAAACCAGTTGTTGTTGTACAAAGCCGATTTATTAAGGGGTAGAGTAAGATCAAGTAATATGGCCACTTTGTATGAGAGTGATGCTACAGAGCAGTGCATATTAGAAAACTTTGTGTCTGGTATGAAATACGACTAGTGAATTCTGGGGGTTTTGGAGTAGATGTGATATCTTTTATTAGATCAACTAAGTAGTTGGAAAAATTGTTCTTTGCAAGCTTTCGGGCACACCCCCCCTTCTTCAGGCAGAGGGGTGGAAAGGGGTATGTTTCTGAGTGCCAAGTGATCCTGGCTCAGATTAATAAGTCCTACTCTAGAGAAACTCAGAATAAGAGGCTGAATATAAATTGTCTGCCCTGAAGGCCAGTAACTCCTCCTGATTTAAGCATGTGGTTTTCTTTGCCGTCTTTAATCATGGCATGATGTAGGGTACAATTTCCATATTTCCTTTCCTTTTAAAGAAGAAAAGAGCTTAAAAATTGAGCAGAAAGACTGTGATCTCTGCGGAGATGCTCAGCAAATGTTGTGCCTTTAAGTAGGACTACCGCTGGAGAAGACCCAATTCCCTAAATCGGCAGCGAGTGTTGTTGTATACCGTGACTAATACAGTTCAAGATGGGCAGACTCTCATTTAAGATCTGGTGAATCCTGTTTAAGCATGTTGTGGATAATCTGAATGGTGTCTAAACAGGCTAATATGAGTCATTGGACCTAAGCTGTGAAAGCATTAGCTTGTTGCTCAGAAGTCGCCGCTCTCCTGTCTTGAGAGAGACAAATGAATCGATACCACGACTCTTGTGTCTGAGCAAAATCCCTCTGCCTTTTTCTGTTCACGTGTCTCCTGCCCGTGACTAAGCAACGTGGTGCTTAACAGGAGACGCAGCTCACATCTTAGTTAACAATAGCACTTCAATATCATTAAAAGCACCACAAGAAGAAAAAAATCTTACCCTTGGCGCAGTGCCTTATAACTTTGTGTTTCTGATGCTGAGGATTTCTATGAATCCCTTCTTCCCATGCTTCAGGGCATCTGCTGCTCACCTGTAAGGCCCGGGAAGCATGCATTGCTATCCATTGGTTTCCCTGCCTTCCTCTGAAGCCCTGGACACTGCCCACACCTAAAAATACAGATTTTGACTGTAGTACCCTGGTGCCAATACCCAAGAGGTTTCTATATAGCAGCGGGTATTATTCTTCCACTCCGGGTCCAAGCAATCTCTGTAGTTGGGTGACGGGATGCCATTTTCCGTGAGGTCAGATATCAAAGTTACTTGAAGGGACTATCCTTATTTTAAAAAAAAAAGATGATTTAAAATAGCGTATAGGGAAAAGCCTTCTTAATATCTGTATTTATACATGATAAATCAGCAAGTGCTTGCATTGCTCCTGCTCGTGTGCAGGTTTAAGGAGGCACATCTTTAGACTCTCTTCTTTCCTGTATATCAAACTTCTCGTAGTGACTACCCCAGTCAAATGGAAGATAAGAGAAGACGTGCTATTTTATTTATGCTGAGGGGCAAATCTTACCGCATATGACTTCAGACAGCCTCACTGAAGTCCAGATGTTGGTCCACCGTTCAAATGTCCCGGTGGTAATTTCCAGCGCAAAGTGTAAAGGAGCAGAAATGAAGCGATTCGGAGAAACGCGCTAAACCAGGGGCCTCCTTTTCGGGCAGAAGGATCCTTTCTTAATATCTAGCTGTCCAATGCAAAGAGAACTGCCCCTTTCCCCTAGGTTTTGGCAATTTCTAATAGGTGTTGAAGCAGTATTTTCCTACTGTTTCATGGTGCCAGTGATAAAAGGAGGAGGAAGAGAAGTGACCATGTTTTAGTCATGGGTCCAGCCAAAGGGCTAAGCACCTGCAGTCTGCCATTAAATAGCCTCAGTGTTGAATAGCTGCTTGCTTCATAACCTTCACTAACAAGTCTTGCTCCCATCCAGTACAGCGAGCACTGGCCGGGGCCAAAGTGACCTTTGCTCTGCGTCAGTCGGTCATCGCCTCCAACAGTCCAGCTGCATTTTGAGGATTGTTTTGTTCCTTTGGCTTGGAAGTCGTGTGCCAACCTTTGGGGCAGAGTCTTTCGAATACACGGTAACTCCTTCTTCAACAGGCTCAGTCCTTGGCTGAAAACTGGCTTAGTTCTGCCCCTGTCCGACTTTGTCCAACACTACGGTTCTTCTGTTTGAATTGGCCACAACAGCTTAAATCAGGGGTGAGCAATTATTTTGGGTAGAGGGCAGCTTACTGAGTTTTGGCAAGCCGTGGAGGGCCGCGTGACAGGCAGCCAGGAGCAGATAAATATTAATTTTTCTAAATTTTTTAGGGGCCCCGTCCATGGGTAGAATGGCCTGGCGGGCTCCATCCAGCCTGCAGGCCACATTTTGCCCAACCCTGGCTTAAATCCACTCCTGTTTGATATCAGTCACCACATGCAGGGGAAACGAAAGATGATCTCCCGGCACTTTTAAATCTAATTCTGCTTCCTCCAGACTGTAGGGCAGTTTCCCTACTGGAAATGGGATAGATTTGCCCCTTACCAGAGCAACCTTTGGGAGCCAGTTGGCGAAGGAAATGGGTGTAGTGTATGCACCCCCGAACGTGGGTGGTACACATCATGCAACTGGACTGAATGTATCTATAACACATACTTAATTTGGATAATCAGTAGAGAAAACAGCTCCAACATAAGCAGGCACACCCAGCCATTCATTGACCTGCATTATTTCCAGTAGCTATCACGCATGACCTGGTGTTTGCTAGCTCAAACTATCTGTCTGTGCAGATCTGCTCGCTTCCCAAGTCTGTTATATCAAATGAGCCAATTGTGCCTTAATAAAGCTTTTAAAATGTGCTAATGAATAAGACAAATTAATGAAATGCAGTAAATGAATGTAAATTGGCACAGTCAAATCTTATTAGCCTGTGCTAATTAGGAGAGTCATTTATGTGACATGGTTCTGTTCCTAATTAGCACACCCAGTCAAAAGATTTATTTATATATATATATATATCTATCTCATTCTGCACAGCACTGGTGCTGCAAGGCACTAGGAATAATGGGAATCTTTGACTCTGGCTTCCCTAGGGACGTGACCAGCATAGCTGGGGCCTTCAGCTCTGATAACCAACAAAAAAGGCAACACCATGGAGCCTACGTAAGTACTCCTGCTCCACATCAGCTCTTCTGATGGGTTGGGCTATAATGCAGGAGCTAAAGAAAGATGTGCGTTTTCTCCGGGAGGTGAGGTAACGAGACAGGGCATCAAAACCAAAATTAATGAGCCCTATTCTGCCCAGGGAGTCATACTCAGACCGAGCAATGGGGTCTTAAGCTACTACTGTTCATATGCAGAAATATGTGAGGGGTTTTGTTGATCTGTGTGTGTGTGTGTGTGTGTAAATATAATATGCTACAAATAGACTCGCATCAGGAATTGAGTCCTAATTCAAGCAACTGCTCTTCCACTGAGTCAGTGGACTAAAGCCTGTTCAGTTGAGGAACTGCAGCACGCCAGATAGGTGCAATATAAGATGCCGCAGGCGTGCGTCTGTACAGAGGGAGCAGGGGGCATCTAGCGTGGTTCTGTGACGAATGTGACTTCAGTGCTAAAGGAGGCTCTTCATGCCATGTCATGTAGCGGCAGAGTTTTATTTTTGTCTCCTTTAAATTTTACATTATTGTACAATCAAACACACATCGCACAAAGCAACTCTACCTGATTTCCATCGGAGAAGGACATCTGCAACTGGGTTCTGTGATCGCACAAACCTGGTCCTGTAACACTTAATGCATATGCCATGACGGGAAGCAGCTGGCTGCGGTGGCATGCAAGACCTGGAAACTGTGGGAAATGGTTGTCAGCGGCGGTGCCCTTTTAATACACAGTCCCCTTCGTGTCAAAATGCATTGTCTCCCCCCACAAAGATCCTTGTACAATAGCTGCCTTGGTTGTCTGCAGGTTTTCTGTCCTGCTGCTTTTTTTTTTTTTTTTTTTTTTTTTTCTCTCTCTCAAAACACCCTGGCTAATGACGTTTGTATTGCCAAAAGAAATAATTTAATTTTTCTTAACTGTAAGCCCTGTCTGCACTGAATCTGAACAGCATGTTTAACTGGAACTCATCTGAAATGCTCTTGCTTAAAAAAGTTGATGTAGTTTCTTGGCCAGCATTAAAGGAAGCAGATTTGGGTTGTGTTTCGGTCATCTTTTTTTTTTTCCATCAGAGGCAATATGCCAGTATTTCATTGTAAGGACTTTTTTGAATTGCTGCAATCAAGAAAGTGATGCAGAAAGGAAAGAATGAAATGAGTGGAGGTATTAAATTAAATAGAACCAATGTTTTGTTTCTGTTTGGAAATAACTTCTTTCCCACTGTTTAATTTTAAAACCTAATTGGACCAAGTATATTTTTAAAGTCATAATAGCCCACAGCTATATTGTGATACCAGATTCATCCTTTCCCATGGTTTTATACACACAAGTGAAACTTAGTATTTGTTTCCTCAAAGCTGAGAACTGCAAAAATAAAGTAATGACCAAATGATGGAAGTAGAGCCAAGTATCTTTTTAAAAACTTCTCCAAGACTGTGGTTGTAACCCAAGAAAGCCAGCCTGTGGCTCTTAGTGAACCTAGAAGTGTCCATTTAAAAGAACAGACAAAGAGAAGTGCATTGTGCTCTCTGCTCAGACTTGTTCTGCGGGAACCAGTTACCCTACGTGCCAGCGGTGACTAAAAGTTACTGTCAGTTAGTTACGCTGCAGTTCACAACACGAATACCAGAGAAAATATCACTGAAAATGGCAAGAAAAGCTGGGTTTAGTTTAGTTTTTTTTAAAGGCCAGCTATTTTATAGATGCCAAGCTAAACTAAGTCAGATCTCCAGTGTTGCAGTCCTTGTTTGTTCTTTTTTTTAAGTGACCTGCTCGCAAACATGGCACAAATACAGAATAAGGTTGCACTTATCTCTCTGAGCTATGCACATCTCTCTCTCTCGCTCGTTTAAACGTAATTCAAAATTATTAGCACTTGCACAGCCAGATTTGGAGCCATGTTCTGTCACCTGCAGCTGACTGACGTCCATGGGATCATGGGGAGCACAGAGAGAGGGAGAATCAGGCCTTCATTTGGCTTTGTATTAAGCTTTAGGAGGAAGTTATTTTCTTTCTCCTTAGAGAGAGAGAGAGAGAGAGAGTGTGTGTGTGTGTGTGTGTGTGTGTGTGTGTGTATTAGCCAGCACAACATTGCAATAGTTGCATTGCAGTTTATACACACACTAGCTGGCAAAACGTGTGTGTGTGTGTATGCATGTGTGTGCATGTGTATATGAGTATGCCTGCGTATCTGTGCGTGTGTAAATGTATGTGTATGTATGCGCATGTGTGTATCTATATGTGTATATGTCTGTGTGTGTGTGTATATATATGTGTGCGTATGTCTGCTTATAAATGTGTGTGTATGTATATATGTGTATAAAATGTCCATGTTTGTGTGTATCTGTGTGTATATGTATCTGTATATCTATATATATGTGCCTGTGTATATGTATGTGTATGTATATATGTGTGTATGCGTGTTTGTATATTTATACACACATGCATACACGCACTCGTGTATAGATATAGATATACACACATGTATACACTCACACAGACACATACACACACAGACACATGCATGCACACATGCACAGCCACATATATACACATGCAAGTACACACATACATACGCATAGAGATATAGACGCACGCACACATGCATAGAGATATACACACTCACCTATAGACACATACATGCGCTCACATATATGCACGCACACACCCGGAAACAGACACATATGCACACACAGGCATGCAGAAACACAAATACACACAAGCATATATACACACGCACGTGCATACACATACAATGTGTGCGCATGCATGCACGCACATGCACATATATGCACACGCATGCATGCACATATATAAACATACATGCACACATGCACCTATATACACAAACATGCATGCACATGTGTACGCGCACACATTTAAATGCCCCGCGCGCACATACATTCACACGTATATGCACATGTGCGCACATATATATTCACAAGCATATGTATATACATGTGCACACAGACATACATGCACACATATATGAGCATGCACAGACACACATGTACATATACACATGTACACATGCGCAGACATGCACACACATACACACTCACGTATATACATGCACAAACACATACATATATGCGCACATATATATACACACATACACTCATGTACTTATACATGCACACACATCTATACACCTGTGTGCACATATGTGCATGCACACACAAACATAAGCACTCACACACACACACATGCATGCACAGCCATATATACATGCGCCTGCACACATGTACACACCTGCCCACACATATGGGCACATGCATACACACATGCACACACATGCAAATGCACACAGTCACATATATAGTACACATTTGCACACCCAGACACACGCATGCATGTACACACACATACACACACATGCACCTATATACATGTGCAAGTGCACACATATATAAACACATACATGCACGCACACATATATATGCACACACACGCACATGCACAAATACACACATGCACATGCATATACATGCAGGCTCACACACACATACACACATGCACACAGATATATACACACAAGCAAGCACACGTACATATATACATGCATGCTTTCACATGCACATATATATATGTGCACACCCACACAAACATATATATACACACACATACACGTGCATTCAAATGCACATATATGCATGCAAGCACATATGTATACATCTGCATGCACATACACACATACATGTGCAGACACATATATAAACACATATACGCACGTGCGTGTGCACAGACGCATACACACACACTGTATGTTGATATACACATACATATCCATACATACACACATACGCATGCACATATACACACACATATCAACATGCATGTACAAATACACATGTATATATACACACAAATGCGCACACATTCATATATAGATACACACATATAGAAACAGACAGAAAAGCACATACATGCACAGATAGGCATACACACTATATATACACATGCATGCACACTATATAAATATATACATGCATACACACGCATATGCAGGCATACAGAGATAGACAAACATGCACATGCATGCATAGATACATACACAAATATATAAACACATACGTACACACGCATAAATATATATACACATACACATGTGCATCTATGTGGATGTGTGAATGTGTATATAGGTATATGTGTATGTATATATGTATGTGTGTTTTGTGTGTGTGTATATGTGTGTATGTATGTGTGTGTATTTATCTGTACACGTGTGTATGAGTGGGTGTGTAAATCGGTGTGTGAGTATATATGTCTATATATGTGTGTATATGAATGTGCAAGTGAGTGTATGTGTTTGTGTATATGTGCGTGCATATGTATGTGCATATGTGTACGTGTATGTGTGTATGTACATTTATGAGTGTATATATGTGTCCATATTTGTGTGTATATTTATACCTGGGTATATAAGTGTGTATATATAAATGTGTGTGCATGCGTATGTGTGTGCGTGTGTATATATATATATCTATGCATGTGTGTGTATATATATGTGTGCACGTATATATGTGTGCCTCTGTGTGTGTGTGGGCGTGTGTGCATGCATATATGTGTACATGCATGTCCATGCGTGTGAATGTGTGGGTGTGCTTATATGTGTAGGTGTGTGTGTGCATGTGTGTGTACATGTGCTTGTGTATGTATGTGTGCTTGCTTGTGCATGTGCATATATGTGCGTCTGTGTGTAGTGTATATATGTTTGGGTGTGGGTGCATTTGTGTGTGTGTGCATGTGTGCCTGTATGCATGCATATATGTGCATCCATGTGTATGTGTGTGTATGTTCACAAGTGAGTGTGCGTGCATGTGTGCGTGTGTGCAGGCATGTGCATCTGGTTCCACACGTGTGTGTGTGCGTGCGTGCATGGGTATATGTGTGAGCGTGTGTCTGTGTGTTTCTATATTTATATCTATATGTGTGTGTGTATATGTTTAAATATTTGTATATATGTACATGTGTGTATATCTGTGTATACATGTATTGTGTGTGCATCTATGTGTGTATACCTATATGTGTTTGTGTATATCTGTATGTGTACATGTGTGTGTATATGTGTGTGCACTTGCACATATACATTTGTGCATGCATATATCTGTGTGTATGTGCATTTATGTGTATGTGCATGTGTGTACATGTATGTTTGTGTGTGTGCACATGAGTGTCTGTATATAACTGTGCATGCATGCATGCATGTGTTCGTGTGTGTGTGTCTGTGTGGGTATATATGTTTGTGTGTGTATATGTGTGTATGCATATACGTAGGTGTGCATGTGAGCATGCATGTGTGTGCATATAAGTTTGTGTGCATGAGTGTGCACATGCATGTGTGTGCACGTGTATCTGTGCATGTATGTGTCTGCATGCGCATATGTGTTTGGGGTGTGTGGGTGTGTCAGAGTGCATGCATGTGCACGCATGTGTGCACATGCAGATGTGTGTTTCTATATATATATGTGTGTTTGTGTATATCTGTGTGTTTATATGTATTTGTGTATGTGACTGTGTATATCTGTGTATATATGTATTG